GGCCCGTACCAGCGCCGACACCCCTGGGTGATTCCCTGGGGGCGTTGCTCATGGTAAGGCAAACTGGATGGTCCCAGGGGGCACTGCCATTGTAGTGAGCTTGGAGGCAGTTGTTTTTCCACATTTATAACTATGGGAGATATGAATAAATACTCTGCCCATCGCATTTCCAGTATCATCGCATCATGAACAATGTAAAGGAGAATAAATATCCAACAGGAAAACATAAGATGGGGTGTTGTGCTGACTGACTGTTCTGGTCTCCTATTGGCTGTTATTTGGTGTATTTATATTTTAGTCCTCCAATCACAGTTCAGTAAGGAATTGCTGGACGTATGCAATATGTACGTCACCACAACCAAAAGCTATAGGGTTCCTAGGAAGGGGCGCCTCTAATAGAGCCCCTGGGGGCACCACTGCCCCTAAGGAGAACCCCTGGGGGCGCCAATGCCCGTATGAAGAGCCCCTGGTGACGTCGTTGCCCCTTGATAGGCCCCTGGGGGCGCCACCACCCCTGACAGGTCCCCTGGGGTCGTCACTGCTGTTGGGAGGGCCCTGTGGGCGCCGTCGCCCCTGGGAGAACCCCTGGCTATGGCACCACAACTGGGAGCTGGGGGTGCGATATCCCTAGGAGGGCCGCTGGAGGCGCCATCGACTCTGTAAGTGCCATTGGGGGTGCCAGAGCCCCTGTCAGGGCCTTTGGGGACTCCATCGTCCCTGGCAGGGCCACCTGGGACGCCCTTGCCGCTCTGAGGTCCCTTGGGAGCGCCGCTGTCCCCTGGGAAGGCCCCTCGGACACCACCGCCATTGAGAGGGCCCCTACAGACGACATCACCACCTGGAAGGGCCACTGGGTGAACCAAGGCCTTTGGCAAGGTCCTTGCAGGGCCCGTACCAGCGCCGACACCCCTGGGTGATTCCCTGGGGGCGTTGCTCATGGTAAGGCAAACTGGATGGTCCCAGGGGGCACTGCCATTGTAGTGAGCTTGGAGGCAGTTGTTTTTCCACATTTATAACTATGGGAGATATGAATAAATACTCTGCCCATCGCATTTCCAGTATCATCGCATCATGAACAATGTAAAGGAGAATAAATATCCAACAGGAAAACATAAGATGGGGTGTTGTGCTGACTGACTGTTCTGGTCTCCTATTGGCTGTTATTTGGTGTATTTGTATTTTAGTCCTCCAATCACAGTTCAGTAAGGAATTGCTGGACGTATGCAATATGTACGTCACCACAACCAAAAGCTATAGGGTTCCTAGGAAGGGGCGCCTCTAATAGAGCCCCTGGGGGCACCACTGCCCCTAAGGAGAACCCCTGGGGGCGCCAATGCCCGTATGAAGAGCCCCTGGTGACGTCGTTGCCCCTTGATAGGCCCCTGGGGGCGCCACCACCCCTGACAGGTCCCCTGGGGTCGTCACTGCTGTTGGGAGGGCCCTGTGGGCGCCGTCGCCCCTGGGAGAACCCCTGGCTATGGCACCACAACTGGGAGCGCGATGTCCCTAGGAGGGCCGCTGGAGGCGCCATCGACTCTGTAAGTGCCATTGGGGGTGCCAGAGCCCCTGTCAGGGCCTTTGGGGACTCCATCGTCCCTGGCAGGGCCACCTGGGACGCCCTTGCCGCTCTGAGGTCCCTTGGGAGCGCCGCTATCCCCTGAGAAGGCCCCTCGGGCACCACCGCCATTGGGAAGGCCCCTAGAGACGACACCACCACCTGGAAGGGCCACTGGGGGAACCAAGGCCTTTGGCAAGGACCTTGCAGGGCCCTTACCAGCGCCGACACTCCTGGGTGATCCCCTTGGGGCGTTGCTCATGGTAAGGCAAACGGGATGGTCCCAGGGGGCACTGCCATTGTAGTGAGCTTGGAAGCAGTTTTTTTTTCCACATTTATAACTATGGGAGATATGAATAAATACTCTGCCCATCGCATTTCCAGTATCATCGCATCATGAACAATGTAAAGGAGAATAAATATCCAACAGGAAAACATAAGTTGGGGTGTTGTGCTGATTGACTGTTCTGGTCTCCTATTGGCTGTTATTTGGTGTATTTATATTTTAGTCCACCAATCACAGTTGAGGAAGGGATTGCTGGACATATACAATATGTACAACACAAAAGCTATAGGGTTCCTAGGAGGGGGCGCCTCTAGTAGAGCCTCTGGGGACACCGCTGCCCCTGAGGAGAGCCTCTGGGGGCGCTGCTGCCCGTATGAAGATCCCCTGGGGGCGTCGTTGCCTCTTGGTAGGCCCCTGGGGGCGTCGTTGCCTCTTGGTAGGCCCCTCGGGGCACAACCACCCCTGAGAGGTCCCCTGGAGTCGCCACTGCCGCTGGGAGGGCCCCTGTGGGCGCTGTCACCCCTGGGAGAGCCCCTGGGTATGCCACCACAACTGGGAGCTCCCCTGAGGGTGCATTGCTCCTGGGAGGGCCGCTGGAGGCGCCATCGACTCTGTAAGAGCCATTGGGGGCGCCAGAGCACATGTCAGGGCCTTTGGGGACTCCACCGTCCCTGGCAAGGCCACCTGGGACGCCCTTGCCGCTCTGAGGTCCCTTGGGAGCGCCGCTGTCCCCTGGGAGGGCCCCTCAGGCACCACCGCCATTGGGGGAACCGACGCCCTTGTCAAGGGCCCCTACCAGCGCCGACACTCCTGGATGATCCCCTGGGGGTGTTGCACATGGTAAAGCAAATGTGAGGGTCCCTTGGAGAGCCACCGCCCGTGGGAAGGCCCCTGGGGGCACCACTGTCCCTGTCAGAGCCCCTGGAGGCGCACCGCCAATGGAAGGCCCCTACTGGTGCCGCCGCCCTAGGGAGAGCCGCTGAGGGCACCATCACCCCTCAAAGAGTTCCTGGGGTCGCCGACGCCCCTGAGAGGGCCTGCCGCACCTGGCAGGGCATATGGGAGGGCACCAGGGGCACTGTCCCAGTAGGGCCCAATGGGGGCAGTTGTGTTTGCGCTATTTAGAACAATGAGAGATATGACATTATATAAATATACCATCCATAGCATTTCCCGTACCATTGCATCATGAACAATGTAAAGGAACGCCTCCGTTCCTGCGAAGGTCCCTTGGTCCGCAGCTGTACCTAGGACGGGCCCTGGGGGCACTGACGTCCCTGGGAGGGCCCCTGAGAGGGACCATGGGGTCGCCGCCGTCCATGGGGTCACAGTGTACGGGAGTGTCTGACAGTGTGAGGGAGTGTCTGGCAATGTACAGGAGTGTCTGAGGGTGTACAGGAGTGTCTGGCAGTGTACAGAAGTGTCTGACAGTGTACAGGAGTGTCTGGCAGTGTACAGAAGTGTCTGACAGTGTACAGAAGTGTCTGACAGTGTACAGGAGGGTCTGGCGGTGTACAGAAGTGTCTGGCAGTGTACAGAAGTGTCTGACAGTGTACAGGAGTGTCTGAGGGTGTACAGGAGTGTCTGGCAGTGTACAGAAGTGTCTGACAGTGTACAGGAGGGTCTGGCGGTGTACAGGAGTGTCTGGCAGTGTACAGGAGTGTCTAGCTGCATACACGAGAATCTGGTGGTGTACAGGATTCTGGTAGTGTACAAGTCTTGCGATGTACAGGATTGTCTGGCAGTGTACAGGGGTGTCTGGCGGTGTAGCTATGAGTACAGTAACTTTGTGTTTTTAGTAGTAAATTGAATAATTATAAAAATTAGTGTAAAGTCTTAAAACTTAAATTTCTTATATTGTACAAATGAAAGTATTTCATGTTAGGGGTTTAAAAAATATGTTTTATCACTTTGCTAAGCAGCGGCTAGTATAGGAGAGTGGTGAGAATAGTGTTGTTTGTTGTAACCAAGCAAATAAGCAATGAGTTAGTCTTATTATAATGAGAAGCCAAGGGTATAGACTACGACGAATTGGCTTGCTGTATCCACCCAGGTCTCAAGACGTTAACAGATAACCAGTAACTCTCAACTGATCGCCCTAAACATGCAAGCTTTCTGCTCTGAGCCAGACCTGCAACATACCTGTACTGTATAAGAGTACTCGTAAACCTATTATGTTTCATTTTGGACATGAAGAATATTAATGAGCAACTTCTGATGATAAACAGTTTATGTTGTGTTACTATTAAGATGATGTACTCATATGTGTGCTATATTAAAAAAAATGTATTCATACCTGATATTTCATTGAACCTTCAGTTCCCTCTTCAGGGGCAGATCTAGGAATATCATAAAAGGGGGGGTCCAAGAAGTTGTGGGTGGGGGAACATGGTGAGCACATGAGTCCACCCAGCTGGAGGGTTTTAGGGTGGGGGGGGCTGTAGGCCACCAGAGAAATGTTTTTGAAATCTGACCAATATTATAGGCATTTTGAGGCTATTTTGAAGCCATGCACACTTGATATTAGAAGATATTCTGAAGTCAATAGTAAATATTGTTTACTATACAAAAATGCCCGAGTGCAATACTACATTAAAGAAAAATTATTGTTATTTTCTGGTGAAAAGGGGGGGTCCGGACGCCCCCCCCCCCTTCTTTGCTCTGTATTTGTATTTGACAGGTTTGACCAACATAAACTGTATTGAGTTGATGTGGCAGGTTAATCTACTTACTGGGCGATTATAATATTTATATTTAAATTAACTCAGGATTCAAGCCATTTACTGGCAAAATGGTTTTTCAGGAAAACCCAAAGACTAGTCAACTAATTGATATACAAAACAGCAGAAAATGTTCCCACAGTTGGCACTTGCATCCCCCAGTAGAATAAATAATGTTGATATCAATGTTTTCAGCACGTGCACACACACACATTGTTACAACTGCTTTACTTGTGCATGTTGTTTTCATCAATAAAATAAGTTTGAAATTTTTAAATCCCTAATTTTTCAGGCAAGAGGACTAGTGAGTGTCCTGAGGATGACTTACAAAACTCTCAAGATGACCATGAGTTTTAACATCTACTGTAGATGCTGTACCAACTTCTTCAGTAACTGGGGAACAAAACACATCAGGTCACAGTAATATCTGCTCATAATCTCAGGTTTCCTCTTTTTAATAATACAGTACTGTATTCATATAGCAGCAGTGACAATTACAATCATCCCCCTATCAGCAATTTTTCCAACAGTTTTAAGTATCCACTTATCCTTTTTCTCCAGCCTGCCTCGACTTTCTCAGTGACCATTGTATCGTAAGGTCCCAGTTAGTACACTGTCAATTTATTTACTTATTTTTCTTTTCTTTTTTGTAAAACCCGCAGTTTTAATTAATGATTTGCCCTGAAAAATGGCATAAAAGAGTAAATCTAGCGACGAAACTTTTGCTGTAGTAAAGAGGTCGAGAAAAGTGGCAGCATGTGGAGAGGTCAGGGAGTACGTGGTAGGGGGCACCGTTGCTTGGGGTAGGCAGCATCCCCTTTTTGCTCTTTTTATGCTTTCATTATTCAGTTTTTAAGTCTACAACTTTAAGTATTAATTTTATCAGTGTACAGCAATACAAGAAAATAAAACTAATTTTATAAAGTATTGAATATGTTTCTTTTACTTTAAAGTTAACATTACAGGACTCCGGACATGTCTCTCTGGAGGGTCTCATAACGTAGCCCCTATTTCCCACAGGGCCAAGCCCTTTTCAACCATGGTTTTGCCAACCACCCGGTTTTACAGGAACTTAACCCCTGTGGTTGGCAAGGAAAGACTTTTCATGAATAATTTTTTGACATACATACTGTATGTCAATAATAAAACAAGGAAATTGGCGAGTTAGTACGTTCAGTCTAATTCAGCAGGGTCTGTAGGTTTCTGTTCCTTAAAGCTAAAGTTTTCTAATTCATTTTCAAGAACATGTGTTTGGGACTCTTGTCTAGTGTCATAAAATAATGTACTTTGGTTTGATACACTTTTAATATTCTCTAAGTGTGTGTCACTGTCATGAACCCTTGTGTCAATATTGCACTCTCTCTTTGTTTCATGAACTTTCTCACTTTCATCATTATTTTGTTGAATCTGATCACCCTCTTTACTCTTGAAATTTTTACTAATAATGTAATATATTTCTGTTAAGTAAGATAGAACACGATCACAATATTCAAAATCAAGGTCAAAACCCGAGAGGACGGTCTTCTGAATATTTGCAGCCTGTTCTCCCTTCAAAGCTTCCATGATGACTGGATACCTCACTGTTAACCTGTTAAAAAAAAAAATTTTGTTAGGCAAGTAAGACTTATGGTACTGTACTCAATATAACCTTAGCTATAATTCAATGTCATGATGGCTCTAAGAATATTAAAAGTAATAGAGTAGGGTCGGGATATATCGCGAGATAGGGTCCAACGATGTTCGTTATATACTAAATCGCAATATATAATTACATGTAATCAATGGGGAAAATAGGGTTAGGATCTGGAGGCCCAAAAAAGTGACTAAACTTGACTTAACAAGTTCATTTTCTTACTAACTAAAGCACCAATGAACACTAGACTCAGGAACAACAAGCTATTTCAATATCAATATCAAGGAACACCAGACTCGGCAGCTGACGCATCACCCTGAGAACACCAGGCTCGGCAGCAGACGCCATACTGACACCCTCACTTGACAATCTCACACCTACATAAACGAACACCAAAAATATTAGTTACAGTATTAAATCTTTTCATTATCTTCACTTCACTTTTCACGTCACTAGAACCCATTTACACTTGCTTTAGAAATTGGAATCTGCACCAGACTCGGCAGCTAACGCGCCATCCCGAGAACAACAGACGACACACTGCCACCCTCACTTACCAATTATAAATGAACAAACCCAAAATATTTGTTACAGTATTAAATCATTTCCATTAACCTTACCATTATCTTCACTTCACTTTTCATGTCACTAGCAACCCATTTACACTCACCTTAGAAGTTGTAATCTGCAGCAGAGTCGGCTGCTTTTTTTTCACTCACTCAGAAAGACTGAGCGGGCGAGCATGAATGAGCAAGTGAGCAGCCACAGTGGCGCCTCTGGTGAGCAAATAATGCATTTGTTTGCCATGGCAGTACATTTGAAATATTTCGTGCCCGATTTCCCTCGCAAAATAAAATAAATTATAACTATATATACGAAAATTTCGATAATTTTTTTATATATAAAGTCGCAATATATCCAGACCCCTCTGTACCTTTTAAGATATTTTCATATTCCTCATTCCAGCTTTACAGTGCTACTGTATCTGTGTGTATGTTGTGGGTAGCCTCACTTATATTCAAGTAAAGAGAATATCAGTGAGTGTTGAAATGGAGGAGTTTTATCCATCAATATTTTCTCTTAAAAAAGTTCTATGCTCAAGTTACTGTAAACCCTTCTATATGTCTTATACAGTCAACCTATACATCTTGCATGTATTAATTATATGTAAAAAATAAAGTTTTGTCATATTGAAGGAGTTTTGTACCCAAAAATTTAACCTGACCATTTTGTAAAAAAATATTGTCTCAGCATTGTGAAATAAGAGCATCAAACACCTGAGAAGATAAGCAATTAGTGGGTGAAATAACTACATCATTAAATTGCATGCCAAATAACCAAATTAAGTTTTTTAAAGTGTGGATCTCTAATCACCATGTTGAGGAGTAGAGTATTTACAGTGAGATTTAATAACATATGATTACCATGTACTACTCGTTTTACCTTCAACCATTAATTAATACTTACATTTTCAGCAGGATGACAGTGACAAGTCGCCACTGTCTAGGCTTAAAGGTGATGTTGTGGGGAGATAAATCAAAGGTTGCGACCAGAGTCTTCAGTAGGCGTCGTACTTCTCTACCATCTAGATCAGTCACCTCTAAGATTTGTTGTCGGCTAACAATGTAAATAGACATTTTAGAAAATATATGATGATTTTGTTTTAAAGTATCAGAATAAATTCTCGTTACAACCATAATAAACTTGTGCAAGAAAAAATTTCTATTCATTCTCAAATTTAAGATATGGTAATGTATTTAAATTATTTAGCAAAACAAAAAACACCAAATCTTTGCAAACACAAGGGTACTTTTTCCATCACTCTTTAGTTGCCATTTTTGGTCTTCCTCTGAACCTCCTCCTACTTTCTCTTCATATAAAATTTCTTGGTAAATATGTACAAAAGAGAACCAAAAATTTCCTGCACCAAGCATGGGGCTGAAGCCAGCTTCAGCTTCTGGAAGCCATGCTTTTTTAACTTGCCTTCAGCTTTGAAACTTTCTAAGGGCTTTGGCTTCAAACCCACAGGCCTGGCTTCAGATTTTCATCTTTAAACATACACACTAATCATATTATAAGCCAGTAATTATATGTAGATCATATTAAATAACTACGTCCAATTATATAGTGGCAGAGCCAAGGCAGTGCAATTTTGACCTAACTTGACAAGTGACTTGGGTTGTTGTGTCAGCGCCGAAATTACTGACCAGCATGTTAGCGACTAGTGCTGACAGGAGAACGTATTGTTGCAGGTCAATCAAGTCAGAATCTCCGCCCCGGATAGTGCCGGGGAGGGTAAACTTTAGGTAAAGTCAGGCCAAATGTGAGTTGACCATGTGACCTTTACCTGACCTTACATGAACAGAGATCCATACTGACATCACAAATTATCCCTGCTGGTCTTTTCTCACAAGGACCTGACCTAAACATCAGTAGAGAAAATCTTATGATTCATCACAATGCTTTTCTCTGTGACACGTGACTGTAAATTACTATTTTTATGTTTTACAGGATTTTTATGTACATATTGTGTATAAAATAAATTTAGTAAGATAAATTGTTCATATAATTAACTTTCTTAAGCATATAAGGCAAGTAAAAATTTACCCCCAAGAACTATCAGATTAAAATAAAGTCAACTTATCTCAATGACTTGCTTGCAACTTTATACCATACATATTCACACTAACATAAGGTAATACAGTATATTATTTAAATAATGGCGTTAAGGTTTCATGAAGTCTTGGCCCAGCTTCCTGACTTTTTTAATGTCTGGCTTCAGCTTAGTGACATTCCAACAGCTTTGGCTTCAATGCCGGAGGCTTGGCTTCGTCCCCTTGCCTGTCATGCACACATACAAAGATATTGTTTTGTGAACTTTTAATTGCACTCTTTAGGAAATATTGACGTTAATAATAAAAATGATTTAATACTTACAATTTACTAGTTTTTTCTTCTACAATGTGTTGACGCCATGAAACTTGAGAGTAATTATCAATAAAGGGGAGTGTTGAACCTTCTATGTCCACCTCTTCATTGTTTTTCTTGGAGTTCGCCTTCTTAGACTTTCTTTGTACTGGCCTTTGAGTGTTTCCTCCCTCACTTAAGCCTCTTACACCAGATCCCCCTTCTTCCAGTATACTATCCAGTGAGCCTCTTGTCTCACTTTGGCTAGACACGGATTCCTCATACTGTTCACTCCCTCCAAGAAATGACACAACCTATATAAAAATTAGTAAATTTACAAGTGTTAGGGCTTCATGTATTTCATTTGTAATGTTTTGCTGTATTCAGTGTTCAGAAACAGCACAGTAAAATTTAATAGTTAACATTAAGGAATATATGTTGTACCACAGAGTCGGCTCATGTTGTTTGTTCTTATGTGGTACTGATAAACACACCAAGAAGTCCTCTATAAAGTATATATTACAACATGAAAAACCCTTAACACAGGTCAGTACCTTTAATTGCTGCTTCTTTGCATCCTTCTGCAGTTGTTGATAATCAGGAAGAGGTAAGTTAGGTCGTAATTGTGGATTTTCAAGATCAGTGCTTTGCAACTCAGCACTGTCCTCCTTCTCTTCATGGTCAAGCTTGCGGCAAATAGCAATATATTTTGCTTTGGCTTCTATTCCTAATCTCAGACCTGAAAATGTGGATAGGTAGATTAATTACAAAATCTTTCTTTACTGTCCATGCATCATATTTTAAAAATTCTGAAGAATGCTTTAAAAATCAATTCATTACAGGAGGCCCTCCAAATTTGCGGGGGTTAGGTTCTAAAAATGGCCGCGAATCGCCAAATCCGCGAATAACATTTCGTGAACATGGGGTGGGTACATTTTTACTTGTGTGCAAAGAAATGTATATTCCCTTTATATGTTTGCCCTTGGAACAATTATTTCTTTTACCTGTATTGTATAAGTGTGGGTGTGTGTGTGTAGACACACAACACACAGAACACATACAAACAAATAAATAATAATGGGAAAATACCCTCACAATTAATCAGAAACAAAGGTATATAAAAAATTTTGAGTCTTCCCTCAAGTCTGCTCCGTGCGAATAATAGAGGACTGCGAAATAAAAATCCGCGAATTATCCGGGCCTACTGTCCCAAAGAAAATGAAAACTAATATACAGATACAAGAAACTGTTAATACTCATATGAAATAAGTAAGGAATTCTGAATGTTCACAAATATAACAATTCGAATTTCCGTATAACAGAACCTAAAGTCGAAATCTATGAACTGACATCATAAAATACTTCATTGTGAAAGGCCTCTCTCTGGCTGCTGATAGGATGAGAAAAGTATAGCACAGTACTTTAAAAGATAAATCTGAATAAACTGCAGCTGATCCTGAGACTCAAGCATAGTCATAAGGGGCTGTGAATGTAGAGCACTGTATCTATACTGTATATTAAACAAAAATACAACGATGTAATATACTGTAGTTATATATGCTACCCAACTGGATTAATTTGTACACAAACTTTCAATAAAATATTAAGAAGTACTGTATTTGATTTATATTATGAAGTGAGGATTATAATATCTAGCTACCAATATCCTATATATTTCTGTAATTATATCAAGCTGACCCTTGCATAAAACTCTGCTGCATATTCCTGATACAAAACACAGCATATCAAATATTGCCTTAAAAAATTAACAAAGAACAAAATTACTACAAACCAGAAGTTGTGTCAAAATCATCCCAAGTGCGGCCAATGTGTTCCAACATTCCACGTACGTAATTGTCTCCTAAAACCACACGTAAAGAGTCGAAGCACATCCATTCTCTCAGAGCTTGTTCCACCTGAATGAATATGAACGAAGACTAATGAATACACCACAGTACTCGACCTTATAATATCTACCATTAATACCGCAGACCAATAAATTCCACAATATCATGATTCATGAAAGTGTGGCAGAAACACCGCATGATACAGGAGACCCTCTTTATTTCACTGCTCAATACGATACTCTACTTTTGTTATTTTGAAGCACCCTAAATTACTCCCATATTTCTTCATACTCCTTTATTTCACAGTGTAAGCCCAGAAAAATTAACTTAAATGGACCAACATGTTCATCCCTTGACAAAGAGTGTTTATGGTGCACAGTGCAAGGTATTATATGTATTGTAACTGAATATTTCATTTTATACGCTGCAATACTATCAGGAAAATGTGAAAGTACCATAAATAAATGCTGCTACTTCTGGTGGTATTAAGAAGGAAAGGGGATGATATTACTCTTGATGAAAAATTTAAATAAAAATCCCCTCAGAGCTGCCCCTCTACTTCCAGTGTTCTGGCTGTAGAGTCAACACGAATCATTCAAGAGGCAAAATTAGCATCTGTTATTGGCAAGATATTAGATAAAAATAAGGTAAGAATATTCTGGAATGTATCTCAATCAAGCTGCTGCCATGTTAAAATAACTTTCAAGATTTCTTGTTCAATGTTTTAAGTTTGTGAGCTCATATTTCACAAATGCTCTGAGACATATTTTTTTGAGCTGTAGTCTACTACCCTATATTTCTGTTGAAGTACCGGTACATGGCACAAATATTGAGCGCATGGAAAGAATGACTGCGATCAGGTCTGACACTTCTACCTAATGCATAAATACCTGTACCAAAAAGGCAAAAATATTATTCCTCGAGTCTCCCTCATAATATACAGGAATAATTAAATGGGAAAGGCAACAAAGAAACCTTTGCTCAGTAAGGTCTCAACAAGTTTAACAAGAGCCTCCCCGCAAGATAAAGTAACCAATTGTTAGAGAGAGTTACTTACAACATAAACAGAAGCAAGAGGGTCTTCACTTTCTTTCCCTACTTTTTCTTTTCTATCAACTTTCCTCTCACACTCACTTCCAGAATGAGAATCAGCTGTCTCTGGGATTCTTTTCTTTGTGTCTTGAGGGTCTTCCTGTACATTAATATCCTTTTCATTTGTGGCACTTTCCTCTTCCTTGCTGTCATCTTTTTTCACTTCATTTTCTGAACACAAGACCAATGTTTCTAGAGCAATCTCATCAACAGACGTAAAGGGTTTTTTCTTCTTCTTCCCTATCTCTTCCTCAAAGTTCAATATTCCTCCTGCAATAAGTTAACAAAGGCTAATGTTATCAGAGTACTAATAACAGATACAGTACTTCTGAGATATTTAAGTTAACTTGTAAATACATTAGTGAAGAAGTTTTTGTTAATACAGCAATGGATGGTTAACTGAGAAGTACGATGAGATTAAATACAGGAAAATTGACATAGGAGTTTATTTCACGATAGATGAAGGCTGAAAAACAAACAAAACAACATTCAACACAGGAAGAAATCTACTATAATGATTGTCTATCAGACCAAATCGTCCAATCCAGTAGAATAACAAACATATAGCAGTAAACTAGTGGAGTAGGTATACATACATTTAAGTTGACCCACCCTACAGTAATTAAATGAGATAAAGACTTGACCCAACAAGTGTCACGAAGGGAAAAGGAGTTCTCACCATTGTGTGATGAGAGAACAGGTGACATGACCCTGTTATTACAATAAACTCTGCCCCCAGCCGGCAATAAGGAGGGGTTGCATCAATAACCGGCCTACAGTTATACATATTGGTAACTATGAGGGATGCGCTACCAACAGGCACATGTATCCCGACCAGTACATCAACACCTGACCAAACACACCTGTCCAAACACACCCTGATTAATAATAATTAGAAGACACCATCTGGCAAGTGACCTGAAACCTCAAATAAAAGAGGGCGAACGGGGAAAGAAAAGGAGAGTCATAATTGCATCCGTCACCCCCTGTGAAGTCAGCATGTCATTCCACCAGCTGCATTGAAGAAGACCAACAATAAGTACAACGATGTCTCAGCCCAGTCCACCAACGGTGTGACATCTATACATCGTGTCAATGTAAGTGCTGGCTGTGTAGTAGTGCAGTGATCCTGAACCCCCCACGATTGACATAGTGGAAGCGCCCACTTGTTAAGTAGTAGGAGGACACCATAATCTACAATATATTGTGTACAAATCCCCCCATAAACCCCCCAGTTGAACTAGTAAAATAAAGCTGTAACACACATTGGTGTTTTATATACTACACTTGTATTGAGCCTGTGTTAATGTATATAATATTATCTCTACACCCTCAAGTTACGCTACCAACTCTCCTCACTTTGCAATCCTACTGCCATAAATTCTTACTGTACCTTCTAGATAAGTATTTCTCTCATTACAACAAATACTCTATCTTATTCCATGTTGAGTGTACTGTATCCAACCGAATCTCCAGCTTACACAATGAGAAGAAAATCTCCCAATAATACAGCACTGCAAAAGTAATGGTGGGGCATAAGCTTTAGATATGCTAGGTGTAAATACAAACAAGTTCTCTATAAATACCTGTAACATCAACCAATTTTCCAAAGAGACCTTCAAGATGTTCGCTGACAGGGATTTTTACATCTTTAATAACTGTATTTTCACTGTAGCGCAGATATAATGGATCTGTTGCCAGCTGTTTACGCACGATCTTGGATGCCTCAAAACATACATTACTACAGTAATTCTGAAATTATAGTTTATTATTATAATTAAGAATTTCTAAATCCACATATATTTTCAAGGCCTTCATCATATGAATTTAAAAGTGATATAAGTAAACAACAATAAAAAAGTACAGTGTTCACAAATTAAACTCTTGCTTATAACATTAATCTATATATATGGGAGAAAAAAAATCTTACCCTTCTCTCAGTGACGTCATAAACCTTGTTGTTACGGATAATGTAAACCCTGTCACCAAATGTGTCTGTAAAGGACTTGGAACATAGTGGATACCCGCACAATCCAATTACGGCTCGCTCAGTGACGACATCATCATAGACAGCTGAGTCAATATATCGAACCTGTAGAGAAACAAATTATGTTATGGACATCTTACCTTATGTCTACACGAGGGATACAGTACATGTCGTGATTGGTAAGCCATCAGTAAGGTTTAGGGAGCAGTCATGTTGGCTGGCTTGAAATGACTAACAGTATTTTCACTCTCTGTTTTATCATGAAATGGCAACCTCTTCAGTTGTATTTACCTTAATTTTTCTGTCATTTATGAAAAACATAACAAGTGAGAGCCAGAGACATAATTGGTGTACATGTCCAAAAAAAAAAAAAAAATCAGATTTGCAATTAATTAGCCATACAGTGGTCCCTCGGTTAACGAGATTTCGGTTCACGAGTTACCTTCCATAAGATTCTTAACTTCGGTTAACGAGCAAGCCCTCGATTAACGAGTTTCTTACGAGCTGACCTGAACATGTTTTCGCTTGCATTTGGCGGTCAACCAGCTATAGTATTAGTCCGCCAGTACAGTAATCGGTTCTAGGGTTTAAATTCCTTACCATTTTAGTAAATATCAAGAAGTTTATACTATTCAATAATTTTAAAAGTTTAGTATTAAATTTTTTAGTAATTTTAACAATTATTGAACATACCATCCAGCCTGCCAACACACCATACAGGCATCAGTCTTTGTGTTTTTTCAGTGGAGGTAGCATCTTGCTTGAGACTCTTTTCAACTAAATGCTTTTTTCTGTGTTTGCAAGCAAATTATAGGTCATTTTGAAATTTATTTTACATATTGACAATATATAATGCAGTGCAGTGTTGATTTAAAGAACATAATCATGAATTACACCAAGAGAACTAAAATTTTATGGGTGAAATGGCGCCATGGGGTGACTTCTCTTCCACCCCAATGCCTTCTCTTCTCCTCCACCCCCATTCTAATTCCCATCATCATCATCATCCAGGAGCCTTCTACATACACACCTCAAAGTAAGTGTACTTTTCTACCTTTTTTGTTGAATTTAGGCAATTTTCGGTAAGCTGGAACCAATTACCCCAAAACCCATTGAAACAATGGTTTCGGTTAACGAGCAACCTTCTAGAACGGATTGTGCTCATTAACCAAGGGACCACTGTACTACTGCTGCTGCTATTTGTGAGTAATATTAGTAACTGCTGATAGAACACATAACATTCTCAATACAGTACTGTACATTAACCATTAAACAACAGCTAACGATTCTCTACTCCTCCCTTATCTGTGCAAAAATGGAACACAAGGAATATGTAACTTCCACTGATGATGGCTGCTGTCCCTGAAGCTAACTTCCACTAAGCTTGTCTGACATTTAATGGTTAAGGTCCACACCATTATTAAGAACTTTAATATCTTATAATTCAGAACTTCCCAGAAAGTGAGTTTAACTTACCTGGTCAATAAAAGCCTGGGGTGTGATAGTATTTTCTATCAAATTTAGAAATATTTTCTGTGCTTGAGTCTTGGCTATCTTGGCTACTTCACTTGTGACTTTGAGGTTCTCATTCCTGTACACAAACCAACATTATTAAAATTAGCATCGTATGATTGGTTTTATGCATGGTTGTTCTGAAGACCAAATATTCTGATATCAGAAAGCTACAGGAATTAGAAACTTGACTTTGGATGAGAAAAAACTGGAAAAAACTTTTATTTCATAAACTCTGCAGCTATATTAGTACTGTACTATGAACCAAAATTAGGTCAACCTGGGTTAGCATGGGTGACGAAGAAATAAACATTACTACTGTTTTACAAGTCATATAGATGTACATTTTAGTGACAGATAATCACTTGAGTCACACCTGAAGTCTCAAACCATCCTTAATAAATAAATTAATAAATAAAGTGTGGGAAACAAATAGATATCACCATAAGAATTATTCATTCACATGATAAAAAGAAGTAAAAAGGTTAATTAATTCTTATAGTCTGACCAATCTACTGATGGAGTGGGTCATATAATAAGTGACTGGGTTATAAGTAGTAATATCTCCGTTAGCCGGAATCCCTCAAACCCGGAACTCTCCGATACCCGAGGGGGCACATTTTCCGGAAAATTCAGAAAAAAATTTCCGATACCCGGAAAGTTCCGGGGATGGGGGATATTTTTCTGGGTTCGAGAGATGATGTAATGAGCAATTTCTGGAACTTCTGAGAACATTTTTCCGTTACCCGGAAAATTCCGGGGAAGGGGGATATTTTTCCAGCTTTGAGAGAGTTGTCTCGTTACCCGGAAATCTCTCATTCCCGGAAGTGCTCCGAACCAATTGTTCTGACTAACGGAGATATCACAATACAGTACAGTACTGCACAGCCCTTACCTCCTGGATGATTTTGTAGTCTCATGTCTGACACTGTCATTTTGAGTTTTCCTTTGTCTATATTGGCTTGACATATCTGATCTGAAACAACAGGTATAGTATAAACTAAAATTATACGCAAATAAAAAAAAATATTTAATTGGTAATAAGCATACAGTGCAACAAAAGAAACTACAGTGTACCTGAGATTTCTTATATGACCAAATTGAAAATTATCAGTGTCTTACCTTTGGGTGTGTTTAGAAAAGATTAACATTGAAAATCTCCTCTTGACTATAATAAAATAAATCTGATACACACACACATAATTTTTATAATCTTTACCAACCCGAACACTATTCTACAGCCACGTGCTACACAACGTATCCATCGTTTTATGTCTGAGATGCTTCCCAAAACACACCAGCTATGCTGCTACATTACAGTACAGGGTACAGTATATGATTTGTCAGTAATAAAATGAACCAACCTAAACTACACAGCTTTCTAACATACCTAACTTAGGTTAGAATAGGTTTATTCATTGTCTAATAAATCACATAATGCAACAGTGATTGGTAAGTCATAGCACATGGCTGTGAATAAGTTTAGGACAGAAATTTCTAAAAATAGAATTACAAAAGATAAAATTATCTTTCGGCCATCCCTATGTTTTCCGACGGTTTTTGACATGTTTTGAATGATTTTGATCTTACGTAACCTAACCTAGCCACAGAACCCAGGAACTATATCTAACCTAACCTAAACTCCAAAGATGATCGAAACGATAATAATACCTTACGGAAAACTTATTCCTTCTCCAGCCCATTTTAGGGGTTCTTCCATAAAGGTAAGAAAATATTTATATTCTTAGGAATAATTTCCTTAAGTTACTGATTAGGAAGCTCAACTATAGTAAATTATTACCAAAGAATATGATACAGTACTGTATGTAAAAATATAAAAACTGTAATTCCAGCATATAAACAACAAATTTTCTTGATGTAAATGAGAAGCTTTCGGTATTTGTAAACTTTAGTCCTATAATTCTTTACGGTAAATCTGGCAACATAGGTGAAATCTACAGAAAATTCTAAGACAATTTTCTTCAATGATATTTCCGTCGCAAATGCATAATAAAGAAGATCTGGCGCTCGAAAGTTTTGGTTAGGAAATTAACCTCGACATATCGCCATTATCGGGTGACCCGCTGTCGGAAAAAATATTTTTGAGTCGCTAGAAGATTATAGGACTAAAAGTAACATTTACCGAAAGTGGTTAGGTTAGGTTAGGGTGCATATCTTAGTGACCAGACAAGGTTAGGCAGTGTGACCTGTTGTCAACTAGGTTAGGTTAGGTTAGGATGCATATTTTAGTGATGAAAAATGTTTTTCCTATGTGTTTTGAATGAATTTGCCCTTCAAAACTGGCACAAATCACTAGTTTTTGAGTTTCTCCTCACCCAAAACCCCCGGTTCCCATGGGGGTCCCCCATTATTGTTGGGGATGGAAGGGGGTCATAGCTTGAAAAAAATTATTTACAACAGTTTTGAAGGTCAAATTCATTCAAAACACAGCAAAATACATAGACAAAATATATTTTTGAGTTGCTAGAAGATTATAGGACTAAAAGTAACATTTAACGAGCTTTCTTCAATTCATAATTAGTACAGTATGGGAGGTTCCCGACTTACGACCACCCACCAATACGAACGTGATTAAACTTGAAATTTACAATTCAGGTATTTTATTTACCCGATGACTAATTTTCTACTTTTCTTGACTGTATTTTGTCATTCTGTTTTTTCTTTTGTATTAAATTAGGTGATTTTAGATGTACTGTATATAAGGACTTAGCCTATGATATCGTGGGATTTTAAACAATGTTTTGTAAGTACGATTTAAAGGTAAAATTTTAGTTTCGGTCATCTCCATATTTTTCAAACGGTTTTTGACATGTTTTAAATTATTTGATCTTACCTCACCTAATCTAGTCACAGAACCCAATAACTATATCTAACCTAGGTAAAGGTGTAGACAATGGCTACCACCAAATGGAATTGTCCAAACTGGTTAAAAAAAATTCTACACACTAATATCATGATACTAAACACAAAATTCAAAACGACAATGCATAGAACCTAATACAACCTGACTTAACATACCCAGGGTTTATTACTTAACCTAACATACCCAGGGTTTGCTAGGTGAGGTTCTATTAGGTTCTATGCCAAAAAATTTCATGTATTTTTTAATATACTGTAATGCTAATAACATCATATTAAACACAGAAATGGAAATCTTAAGCAACTCACCTTAATATTGAGGTTTATATTCATCAGCTATGGCGAGGAGGAATTCGTGAAAACCATCATTTAGGAAACGTCTTTTGAAGAGGGATTCAGCGAGATAAACACATATCATCAGCAACACTTACTCCTGTTTTAGTGAACCAAGTCCCTTTAAAGACAGACAACTTGAAACGACACCGAGTAATTGTACAGCGTCTGTGGACATAATCATAGGATTGCGTATTAGAGTTATGTAAATTTAATAAAAATGCGTATTTATTTTATTTAAAGGATCAGGATTAATGGTACAGAATTTATACAGGATAACCAAATAAACAATAGCGGAGGCAGGAAAATTGTACTGCCGGACTCTTCAAAGGTAAGAAAATGATTTGTGGCGTCAAAAATGTATTTCGAGACTTAATTTTAATGCCATAATATCAGTTAAAATTATAACAGAAAGTTGTCGTTTCTTTTAATATGCTTAAAAACATCAAAACACCTTTACCCTAACCTAAATTCCTAAGATTCCCCAGATGACCAAAACTAAAACAATACCAGTGGACATTACTTTTTTTTATACATCATACAGTATAGTTGGGTAGATTCATCATACGTCTTATAAATCACACAATGTACAATTTACTGGAACTGTTTGTGCCAGTATGTAAACCGGTAAACCGTTGTCATAGATTTACACTGAAAACATATTATAATGTGCTGTGACAAGATCTCCACAGCTTGACAGATTTGAATAATAAATAGCCTCCCTGCATTATTAATAAATTTTAAAAACTCTGATCACCTTGTATGCAACATTCAACACGAAAATTCACAGTAAATCTGCTTACATATATGACCAACAACTCGCTTGATTACCTTACCTGGTGTAACTTTATCTTGACGACCTCCAGAGTGATGGTTCGTGTAACCAACAGCGTATTCTTCCGGATTTGAGTCGTGAACCTTCCCTCTGTCCTGCGTGGCAGTGAACAGTGGCATTACCCACATGAATCTGACCTATATATAGTGTCAACGAATATGATGCATTCTTTGTGTACGAACCTCTGTCCTGCATGGCAGTGAACAGTGACATTATCCATATGAACCTGACCTATATACATTTATAGTTGTTAATGAATATGATGTATTTCTTTGTGTGTGAACCTCTGTCCTGCGTGACAGTGATAAGTGATACCACCCTCAGTGTCAAGACCTGACTGAATTACTCAGAATAGGCAAACTGTACTACAAGCTCTGCCAATAAATTTGTTAAACTAAACTAACTTCATTGTATTTATCATTTCATCACTTATCAGCGCACTAGGAATAACAGCCGAAATAAAGATAGATAACTATTAATTTTTTTTTTAGTCAAATCCTTTACTGTCAAAGCCTTTACTGTACTGTACGCTTATTTCACAATGTAATATCAAAACAGTTTGTATTTCAATTTCAATTTCAATTGTTTATTCCTTGATAGAGGAAGCGGGATCCTAGTGCTGTCACTAGGTACCCCTGTACAATGACACCAGAAGCATCTGGTAAGTGTGACAAGTATATACAATATAAATATTTTAAAGGGGCTTAATAAAGCCTAAGGAAGGAAGGATATTCCTTTAACACATAATCAATATTATTTACAAAATATCTGGCCAGTATGGGGAGGATCATCGTGTCTCCGTCAGGGGGTCGTGGAGTGGTGGTCCAGCAGGCGTCACGGAAGCGTTGTGTGTGGGGACATCTTAGGAGGTAGTGGATAAGGGTGCTGCTGTCGGGTCTTCTGCATAATGCACAAGAGCGTTGCTCAGGGGATGCGGGATACCAATCTCCCAAGCAAAGTCATACCCAATGATGATACGGGCAGCAATCACGTCCCCTTTCCGCGACCCTTTCCCGTAGACGTACGAGAGGTCAGGAAGTTTATGGAGGACATCGTACCAGGTGGGCGGGGAGTCCAGGGGGATGGCTGCTTCCCTGAGCCTCTGTTTGCGGCGAATTTGGGTCCTAAGCTGCAAAAGTGATCGAGGAACAACGTGGTCAGGTGTGGCCTTGTTGCAGCCAGTTCTGGCAAGGCCATCTGCTGCCTCATTCCCCAAGATACCGACATGACTGGGTATCCATAGGAATGTCACAGGACGCCTGCATCCTAAGTGTGGATGTTAACCCTCGTATTCGGAGGATGAGGTCCTTATTTCCCCTGATCCAAATGCGATCCCGTCGAGAGCAGACCTGGAATCGCAGCAGACAAGCAAGGGGCAGAAACCATCTGCTTCCTCCTCAGCGAGAAGGGCAGCAAGGAGGGCTATTAGTTCAGCCTGAGTGGAGGATGCCCCGTCAGAAACTCTGAGAAACAGTTTGATAGGCTCAGGGGCATCAGGACGGGAGATGTAGACACCAGCCCCGGCCCTACCTGTAGCGGGGTAGTTTGTATTTAATATATTAATAACATAAAAATTTGAAGAGCTTAAGAAATTTAAATAAATCCTGACATCAGCTCTTCTTCAGCTGCTAGAGCAATACGGAAAATTGCCATTTTTAATCGAAATTCAAAATAATAATATTACATTTTTTCGAGTTTAAAAAATATCACTACTGTATTAGACTGTGTATGCGCATTGATTAAAACTATCTTTAACAGCCACAAACCCAAATATTAGCTATGCTTCCTCCTAAATACCGAGATATGCATTATTTCAGTTTTCATGTTAAATTACGTTATCATTTAATATAAAACGGTAACCATTAGTTTAAAAGGGTATAATTTTTGTATCTAATGATACTATGTGCTAATAGTTGTTTTATAATAAACTGTTACTTTTACTTATAATTTTTAATCTACATCAATGAAATCTATTCATCCATCCAGCAATTCATCCACCTATCTATCTATCCATCCCTCCATCTATCTATACTGCGTTGACTCATTCTAAGACGAGCATCTCCCGCTTGCTCACCACAAACAAAATAAACAAGTCTTCTAAAGTTGTTAAATCTTTTGGTATATCAGATTTTCAGATAACACAAAAGGTGGGAAGACACCAGTTTGGGATTGTCATGGTGAATCTAATACCAAATATGAACAGTGCAGCTCTTTTGTAAGGCTGTCGTCATAAATGCACGTGTACATACATTACATACATGCTTACATAGGTTGGATGGATATATGAGCAATAGGGGTTGGGTGTAAATGGGACTGCCCAGTATGGACCAATAGACCCGCTGCAGTTTCCTCCATTCTTATGTTCTTATACGTATACGCAGCATATACATACATAGACACAGTGACCGCTCTACTCATGCTGGCCCATAGTCAATAGATAATTATGCGTTTTCAAAAGAACCTATGACCACGTTCAAGCTATCTAACTTTTTCTTTCTGTATGTCTGGGTTTTCCAAGTCTCTAAGAACTGACTCTTTCTTGTGGTCAGTTTTATTAGTGTAGATGAGGACCATCTACATTATGTTCCCTTAATATTACAACTATCAACTTCGTCCTCCACTTGTATGGCAAAGGGGCGAGTCCGAACATGCTTCAACCTAAACTAACCTTGCTAACACTAGTGACTTTCCGTATCATGAAGTGAGAGTACTGATGGAGCTTAACTTCGTCAAAACTATAAATAAATTAGTGTAGAGCCGTGATACCGAGAATCCAATGTTTTAAATATAAGAAAACAAAGGAAGGCTTTGGTGAGTTACAGTGATCACGGTGATGGGCGGGTACAAGCCACAAGTGTCCACCGTGACTGAGGGGGTTGAGTCAACAGTATGTGGGTGGACGCACCTGCCCTGTCCTCACCTCATATTCCGCAGTAAACATTATTTTGTAGAAATCTTCAAGACTTATCACAGAGATCACTTTTTTCGCACAGTTATTCTGAGGAGAATTTGGCTACTATTTTAATCGTTAATACTCTTGCCACAAGTGGAAAAAGGGGGAGCCAGCGATAAAAACTTGACGTATCCCACGAATAAAATAATACGAGTCTTTTCTTATTTACATAAAAAAAAAATCTTCATCACTTGTGCCAGCTGGATCTGTGAGTGCCAGTCCCAGTGTGAAATTCTGGATCTGTCAGTGACTCTTGGGAGGAGATGCAAACAAGACAAGGAAGTGACAGTGGGTATTAGAGCAGTACTGTAGATTGCGCTAGGTGCAGGTTAGTGTATTCAATGAAGCAGTGTGATGCTGAAAGAGAGGAAGAGGCCGTTGAAGATAGAACTGAGTCTTTAAGTACTCCAGCACTGATAGGAAATTTATCTGGGTGTGAATCATCCACAAGTTGAGTCGTTTAAAGGACAAAATTCCATTACAACGAGGCAACAGAACTTATAAACACATGCTCGAGTGATTTTGTCCATCTTTAACTAATGGTTTAATAACGCTGTCAGGCTACAATTCATGGAAAACATCCAATTACCTCCAGGGAGATAACCGTACAGTTCCAAAGCTTACCACATTATCTACACATCTTAAATACACCACAGATACACAACCATACACGTACCATACACATTATACATATACGGTATAATACTGTATAGAAAGTGAAAAAGTGAAACTAAGTTGACGTAAACAACAAGTCAGCGGCCAAGAGAGGTTTTATGTGGCTTTGGTCAACTCGGCGTCCTAGGAACAGTTTATATGTGAGGATAAGTTGTGTCTGCTTAATAAAATCGTCTATCGTTAGTTAAATAAAATACTAAAAGTGGCGTCCTTGTAGTGAAAGGGTTAGGGGAGAGAGTTTATTAGGAGCCTTTGAGAATCCATCTTTGTGTCTTGGCATTAGTGAGTTTACAGATCTTTTCTGACGTTATCAATGTGAACGCTCCCTTATCCATCCCTGTGTAATAGCTTTGGTGTTTACTATCGTCCAGGGCGTCTGTGTGTCCCTCTGTCGCCCAGGAATATTAAATCCTAGACTCCTCTTTTTCCCCAATTGCTTTTAAATTTGATTTGGGGATTTATAATTAGAGCTGAATTTTGCCCCCTGATCCTGCAGCCAATGCGTCTATCTTCCAAGATGGTCGACCATTTCCAAGATGGCCGACTACTTCAAAGGTGGCCGACCAGTTCCAAGATGGCCGACCAGTTCCAAGATGGCCGACCACTAATTTCGAGAAAGACCAATTCAGCTGGAGAACTTAAGTAACTGTCTGAGTCTTTCGGTCATTTTTTTTTTAAACATTCCGAGCAGCATGTCCGAAGAGCAATTCTGAATAACGGGTTAAGTTTTAGTAACCTGACAAATGGATTCGTCACACTCCATTAGTAGCTTGGCCATGGCCATTTGGGTTACCATTTAGTAACCGTAATGCGGCAACTCGGGAGGGTTGGTAGGCCTGGTCAAGATAAACATAAAGAAATCAGCTTGACCTGTGGCGCCAAATTTGAATGCTGAAGCGCGAGTGATGGTTGTAAAGCTTCTTTTTCAAGAGAAGACAATTTCCTTGACTGAAACACAAAGGAACACTAAAAGACATGATAAAAGAGCACAGAACTGTACTGTACTGCCTTTTCCTCTCAATGGAGAATATATAAACAAAATACTTTATTGTATTTTCTATCTTTTTTACGCTTCAACTGTTCCTTCAGTTCTTGTAAGGACAATTAATTATTATTTCAGTATATTTTGTGGAATAATTTCATATGTACTCTGTACTGTGATACTGTTCATTTATTGTATACTCCCATCCCATTTCAGGATTTTTGGAATAAGATACATAGTCAGCATAGAGCACAAACACGAATTTAACTTCTTCTTTTTTTTACATTATCTAATAAAATCCGAGTTTACATACATTTATACAATGCATATTTTTTCTTCTTTTAAACGAGCTTTCGGCTGCAACGAGCACCAGGATTACGAGTTAAACAAACACCCCAATGCATGCCAGAGAAAATAACAAAGGCAGGAACGAATTCCATGATTTTCCGATTATAAGACCACGAATTTTCAGAATCATTCCTTTACCCAATATTACCCAGGTACTTTCCCAGTGATGGCGAGGAAGA